AGAAACAACATTAACCACTTACCTCGACAGTAGTAGCAACAACAGCTACTATATTTCGGAGAAAGTTTTCTTTGGTCAAAGTACTTGAGAACGTTGTTTTAGAAGGTTTATGTGTAAACTCAAATATCTCAGGTGTACGCTTTCCAACCTCAACCTCTTGCTATGAACATTCATACATTTATAAAATGTACGAGTCGATTCGGAATTCGCCAACAATTTTAAAACTTGGAGTACGGATTTTAATAAATACACTGATAGATAGCCTTGGAATATGGCCAAATTATTCAAATACAAATCAAGTAATATAGAGAGTCAATTAAAAAAAATTCTTTTATTACTTTTTTTTTTTTTTTCTATTTTATTTGATATGTATTTTAAGGGATTGTCTTTATATTTAAAAAGAATTTCTTTTGTGCATTTCTTTTTACAATAAAATTAATATTTCTACTCTAATACATTAACCTAATTTTACGAAATGCATAATATAAACATCAATAATATATATATATATATATATATATATGCTTTTTAATTAAAATTTAGTTTTTATTACATAAGTGTCCTTATATTACAAACTTAAAAAAGAAATGTTTTTAATATTTTACTGAAAAATACTTTCAATATAAATATTCTTGGAATATACCTACTACATTTCTTTAATTAGTTTATGAAGCCTGAAAATTAAAATTGTTAAGGTTAATACTAAATACTATATACTTAAAAAAAGTAAGGATTTTAATTGATTAAATTGAAATAAATGCCATATTGTTATTTACACTAAAATATACGGTTTAATTTTCAATTTATTTAATTAAAAACCTCCCATTTAAGACGATATTAATGATATTGTAACAGTAATATAATAGATAGTCAGTATAATTTGAAAAAACTAATTGAACTGTATGAAATTTCATTTTTAGTATATGAAACACATTGGTTGTTTAGGTAGATGTAATTTTGCATATTCCCACTTAATGTTTAATTTTATTTTTTTCAACTCTTCAATTTAACTGATTTTATCTGCTGTATACACATAAAAGACTGTCTACCTATGTGTAAAGTGTGAATATATAGTGCAGTTGCGTGTGCATGTTTAATTTTGATCTAAAACATATGTATGTATATATATATATTTATATATATATATATATATATATATATATATTCGTATGAATGTCAAGCACATTATTCTTTATAAATTTCTTCTACCGATAGAGTATAAAAGATAGATAGTTGAGAGGTGTATGAGAGAGAAAAAGAGAGTCAAAGTCAGCGAATAATGCGCCTCGAAGAAAGTAGAAAGTAGAGTGGGCCATTATTGGAATTTGTACTCTCTCGTTGTCGTTAGCAGAGCCGTGGTACTTCAAGGGAAAATCTTGCAGGCAACATCGTTTTCTTGAAAATGCTGGTACTTAAAGTCTAGTAGAGTAACCTTCGTATGCTGAGACATTGGTAACTTAAAATACCTCCCTTCTTCTTTTCTTTACTGGATGCAAGAGGCAAGTATGTGCATTGCGTCTTTGTAGAAAATATTTTGAGAAATGTGATATTAGAAGTATAGTATTTTTCCTGCTATTTATTGGTACAAAAAACGATATTTGCTTTCGAAAAGGTTCTCATACATTATACGACAAATTTATAATTTGTCATTGACAAATAATACACTTATACGATTATTTTATCGATTGTTAGACATTTTATTTTACTAGTAGTCTTAACATATCAATACCAATAAGTACAGTAATGATTTAAATAAATTTCTTATATCAATATATAATAATTTTTTTATATCAATATATATTTTAATAATATATGAAATATTAAACAGAATTCTTTTTAAATCTGTGAAAAATATTATTGATTTCATGAAAAATTTATTATATGCTTACATATGATAATAATTTAACATTCTTATCTTTTCTGCTTATACGTCAAAAAAATAAAAATAAAATTGTGAGAAATTAATTTTCATATCTCTTTAAATAATTGAATGAACTGAAATAATTGAACTGAAATATATTCAGTCAGATATATTAATTATGTGAATTTAAAAGAGAGTTTAAGAGACAAAAAGTTATTTTTGTGATATGTTATATTTGTCTAACTATTATAAATTCTTTCTAATAAATAATAAAATATTTTAAATTCAAATTCATAAAATATAATTGAAATGTATTGTACGTTTTATAATTTTAATATTTAATAGAGAAAAAGGAAATTTTGTTATGTTACATACAACAAGAAAATGAAGGTCATATCCTGAATATTACTAAAGAATTTGTTTAAATATATATATTTCTTATATTGTCTAGAAATCAAAGATGAATGAAATAACGTAATTAATAATTTTTAATCAATAACATTAAGAAAAGCACATACGTAATGTTTTTTTAATTTATTTATAATATAAAATATTTATAAACATCCGTATGCATATTCACATACACATAGACGTGCCCACGTCCATGCATATATATATATATGTCTAGAATACATATGTGGACAACATTTTCATATTATGTTGAATGAATATTTAATAAGATGTGTAAGCTTTGTATATTATGTGCAGATTTTAAATTAAATACCATATTTTCAAATTTTCAGCTACTTTTAACGTATGCTTTTTATATAGTTATTTTTAATTTTATTTCTAGAGTTATTTTTCATAACATTATGTAAAGGTAATTAAATGATAATTTAATATAACATGACATAACAATATATTGATTTGAAAGCGGACACATATTAGAAACAGAACAAAAACATCTTTTTAAAAGTCGGATTTTTAATTGAATCTTAGTCTAAAGAATATTTCAAACAATGCTACATTTTATAATGCAAATGTTTCATAATTAATTTTAAACTTTTCTATATGGAATATTGCATATTTAGTATGTAAAATAATTCTAATTTGCTATTTTTTAGTTTGAAACATTCAAAATATTATTAAATTTTATTTCATGCTTTACGTATAAAAATAAGAAATTCATATCTTTCTTTCCTCTATTGATGAATCACTCATTTCCCGTCAAAAAAGAAAAGATTAAAAAGTATTAAATCTAATTATAAACAATAATCAAATAAAAAAATAATAAAAACGTAGATTTTATTACTCAATTATGACCTGTTTGAAACAATTATTTCTTAATTTTTCACATTTTATTCTTTCATTTTTATTCCTCAATAATAGATAGAATCCTCTTAATATTATTTATCCCTCAAATGGAATACATTAAGACTACTATCTATTAGATTGTTATTAAAATAATAAATAAATACATGTTAATAGATAAAACGAAGATGAGCTTAAAGCCCTAATGGCACTATTCTTCGTATTAGAGAAGCGCTTGAGTTTGTGATCTTAACGACAGACTCGTTAGCCTTGTAATAAAATTATAATGTGTCTGTAAGCACAGACTTCGGAGTACTCCAGAAATAATTCGCACTGACGCGACTGTTTCTCACCTCATTTATTTATAAGCATATACGTCATACGCGTTGATGCTCCTGATGTTTCCCAGTATTTCACGCTAATTAATTCTCTTCACAAATTTTTATCAAGAAGTACGATGAATAATGACAAGTAAATTCCCTTCTAATAAATACAAAGTCAAAGAAATTTCTTTTAATGTTACGTAATGGATATTTTGTGAATTATCTTTTCGTAATATATAAATTGTAATATTCTTTAAAAGTAAATTATATGAAATTGTGTATTAATTAGTAATATCTAATGACTTTTTTTACAATGTATTATAAAAAATTTATAAATATCAATTACTAAAGTAATTAATTTCCATAACAGAAAAATCGTACATAAATTGTATACTCGTTATTATTCGTCCATGTATATATGTATATATATATATATATATATAAAGTATTTTATTGGATATTTTGTTCTTATAAAAAGTTACACAATGTATATACAATATAATTTATAAGAACAAAATATCTAATAAATTACTTAAACGAAATCTTTATGCATGATAAACGTAATTTAATGCCGTGTTTTATTTTTTTTGCTTCCTTGCTTCTGTCTCTCTCTCTCTCTCTCTCTCTCTCTCTCTTTATCTTGCTATCTTTCTCTCTCTTCTTTTATTTCATTCATAATTTATCTTCTTTGTTTCGTTATATATCAACAATATTGTTTTTAGTACGGAAAGCGTATAATCGTGCAATAGAAATTCAAAATGATAGCAAAGGTATAGGTAAGTAGATTACTATAATTAATCAAATTTTTGTTAGAAGTTATATTTTTCATAGATACTTTTAATCATTATTTGATAATTTTCATACTAGTGTATCCGTTTTATTTTAGAAACTCTCATTTGTACTAACATCCGTTTTCTATTTAAATCTGCATTTGAAATCTTTTTATAAATTGAATTTGAATATTATTTTAATTCGTATAAATTTAATAGTTTTCATAAATATGACAGTTGTTAATATAAAAATAGTACTATAATAAAAAAAATTATATCAACATATTTAATTGAAAAAGTTGAAAAATGTTTTTACATTAGAATATCATTGCGCCATATTCTTATGAAATTAGAAATCATTGGAAACGTATATTTTCATATATATTTTTAAATGTCAAAAAACTTGTATTATATTTCTGTAATATATGTCTTATTAACATTTTCTGTTGTCAAAAACAAATGCAACTGTAGATATATATATATATATATATATATATATATATATATATACATATAAAATGTATTAATAATTTAAAAATAGAGAGGAATAATATTTTATGAATTATAACTTTGAAATTGGTGTTGGTGTGTATATGACGCGCACGCCCGTGTACATATGATTTATTATTAATCCATCTCCATAACATCCAAAAAATTATATAATATACATAGAGTATAATATATATATAGAGTCAATGTTATTTATATTATATTAATGGTGATTAATTTAAATTTGCTTAAAGTGTTACACTTATATAATATAAAGCTGATCAAACACTCTCTTTATCATTGCAGATTGCAAGTGAAGAGAAAAGCAGCTAAAATCAGTTAGTACTCAAGATACATAAAAATGGACGTCGAGACGGGGGCCATATTGGCCCTGCAGATTCTTGCTCTATGTTCTATCGTCGCGGCTCTTCTGGCTTATCTAATGCGTCAGTCACGTAACGCTAATGAGGAATATGAAATGCGTAGTAAGCGTTACGTCCTCGTTACAAGCTGCGATACTTGTATTGGTTTGCAACTTGCTTTGGCTCTATCCGAAGCTGGCTATAAGGTAGGACAAAAGAAGTGTGAAGGCGACTAGTTATTTTTTTAAATGACTGTCAAAGCATGAGCTTTAAAGATTGTAATTTTATTGATATTTTTCAATTAAAATAATTTTCTAATTCTTAATAGTATTGTGGGTATTAGGACGCGAGTAGTATGATTTATTATAAAATGAAATAATATTTTTTATCATATTTCCAAATAAAACATCGTACATATATATATATATATATATATATATATATATATATTATAACATATATCAAATCGTTCTAGAGTCATGTTTATAATTACAGAAATTATAAGTAAAATTGTAATTTTAATAAAGATTTTACAAATTTAGGAATCAATGTTGTAGTATCAAAAATTTAAATCGGAGTTAAGTTTATCTTAAAGCTTTTTTTTCATTTTTTGGAAACCGGATTAAAAGTTTAATTTTTAATAAACATATTACAATGAAAAGTAAATTTAAAAAAAAGATGATAATTCCATATGATCCATATGGAACATGAAGAGAAAGTAAGAAAGAGGAACTTATAAGAAAAAATTTTCATTTATTTATTAATATTTTAAGAGACTTAAAAAAATTAATATTAAATATAATTATTTACTATTAAATTAAAACTAATACTATTAAATAGCTATTAAAACCAAGATGTGTGATTAAATTGAATTAAATATCACATAGATATTGCACCTTATGTAATAATTAAATTTCATATCATTGTATTATATATTTGTATAATATATAAATTTCATATATTATATTATAAATATATTATATTATTTTTCTTTACTTTTGAATTACCTTTCAATTACTAATGAGTTATATTCATTTACATAACATAATGATTCAGGTTTTAAACATTAGAAATTGTTTCGTAATAATTTATATATTCATTAAATTGTGAAAAATATATAAATTTGGCATTTCATTATTGTTTAATAATTAATACATTTTTTATATTATAATTATTTTGATTTATTAAGTTTTATAATAATAATAGTTATATTATCATTTTAATTCAGATGCTTTACAATTTTAAATATAAAACATAATCTAGTTAATGATAATCGTTGATAATTACTTTTTATCTTTTCTAATAAATAATAATACAAAAATTCATTAATTCAATATGTAATATTCATTGAAACGTAACACTTTTTAATCATATTACATAAGAAATTTCTTCCATTGTGTTCATAGTAGATATAAAAAAACTTATAAAAATTATTAAAAAAATAAATTGCAAAATTTTGTATCAGAAATTTATAATTGGATGATTATTAAAGGTTCGACAATAACAAATTCATTTCCATTAAGCAACATTTAGAGTATATTCTTTTATAAAAGTGTAATTAAGTACATATTATGTGATTTAATTGCACTTTACTTTATCGATTCTTAATTATACTGGAAATAAGCCTATTCATATTACTTTCACTCAAGCGGGTGATGAAACAATAAACGATTGTATTTTTGGCCTTCAATATATGAAAATATACAATTATTGAGTTTTTTATATATCTAGAACATTCAGAATAAAAAAAATATAAATCTACGGTCTTTCAAATTAAATTGCTTCTGAATAAATAAAAAAAAAAAAATATATATATATATATTAAGTTTTGTAATTTAATTAATAAAAACAAATTATTTAATAATATAACTTGATATTATAATAAAGATAGTTTTTTTGTCTAATTTATTTAATATGTAGTCGTTTATGAAATTAGTTCTTTGAATTAATTACAGAATATTATAATTAAAAATTTTAATTTCTTATAATCATTACGTTTGAGAATCTATGGAAGTGTGAAGTATTGTGAACCTATTAATATAAAGGAAATATCTATCTAGAAATATTATTCAATAATTAAATCTCTAATAATATTATAATTTTTGTAATTCTTTATTCTGATCAGATAATTCTTATTCTGCTATCATATTTAAAAACTGATTGCTTTAAAATAATATTTTACGAAATGTGTAGTTCCAGCATATATAAATAAATTATAATTAAATGGAAGTCATCTCATTTTGATAAATCTGTCTAAATAGAATTCTGTCGATTTTAAACGTTTATATATTACCTTAGATAAATAATTTTAAAATAAAAAAAAATTGATATAAGTCTATTAAGGAATTCTTAGAAAAAAGAATGAAGTAAAAGTGAAAGAATGAACAATTAACTTATTGAATTCAATGACAATCAATATATTCATAATTTATAACACGGCTAAATATAATTACATGTTATATGCAATTAGCTTTAGCCGATAGTAACAGTAGTATCGATTATTCTCTAGGTATTCGCCGGGTTGCTCGATCCAGCTGGTAATTCACACGGAACGAAAATTTTAGAAGCCGTGGAGCTCCAGCGTACAAGAGCAAAAGATCTTGAGAGCGTGGAAGAATCGCCAGTGGCGTCATCAGATGTACGATCACCTGGCCAGATTATAACCGTGGAATTAGACTCGACACGAGAAGATAGTTTGCGTACGTGCTTTGATGCTGTGAAAGCGAAGCTACCGGCTGGAGAAAACGGTAAAATAAAAAGTATTTTTCACTAATCCATGTAAAACGATGTGTAAGTAAGACTTTTGAATTTTTCATAAATGTTTGAATATTAAATGGTTGTTCAATGAATCTGGCAAGTAAATTAAAAGCATAAAGTAACAAATTCATGTATATTTTAAACATTTTATATCATTTAATCACTTACTCACGTAATATAAAAATTATAATATAATGAAAATGCGATGAATTTAATTAAATAAATGAATAATAATTATGTAATTATTTTTTCTCGCTGCATTAATTAATTAAAAAAAATGAATCAATCAAAATTAAACATTAATGTATGTATTAGAGTAATATGAGTCGGAAAGAAAAATAATAATAAGAAGTCGAAAAAATTATTATTGCGGCTCACTAGCGGGAGGGGGGGGGGTGGTAAATAAATATTGAGTGGTCAAACGTGAAGGTAGCTTATATCGTATGTAAAACGCTATAATGGAACTGACACTAAACAAGTCTGAGATTTGAAAAAAATAGAAAATAATTGTTACGATATAGTAAGAATAATAGAATACAATGCGCACGACAGATTTTAATAAATTTTCTTTTACCAAGCTTCACTTAATCATGCCATTCATTTCTCTTCGAGTTAATATCCTATAAAAGTAAATTAAATAGATAAGCATTTTCATAAATTAAAATCTAAAAATAAATAAATTTTTTAATATTGTAATTTCAAATATTATTCTAATCATAAATTATATTAGAAGTACAAATAATAAATTGCTTTGTTCTATTATCAATTATAACATACAAAATTTATCATAGTTAACGATTTTTACAGTTAATCAATATTATTACACAACTAAAAAAAGTTGTGTTTTCATTAATTTATAAAATTAATTTCTTTTCGTTAAAAATATAACTAACTATATTTATAAATATACATTATTCTTTGGTTCGTCATATTTTCATAAATTATTAATATTTTTATTTTGCGCTATGAATTACTATGTCATATAGAATAAATAATGTTTCATTATTAGACTATAATATATTGTATGAAAATTTAAATGTATTATGTAACAAATGATGAAATTAAATATTGTATGTAAATATTTAATGAAACAGGAAGTATAAAAGGTAGAAAATTATATTTAATATGAATGTTTGTTTATATTGACTTTTCTTACATATATAGATTATAAATATAAATCATTCTTTATAATTAGTATTAAATTAATAATGTAAGAAACTTTTAATGATGAAAAATAAAAATATATCCTTTATAGTCTTTATATGCAAAAAGAATTACTCGTCGAGTAACAATTTTAAAAGATCGAAGTAGAAAGCTGAAACTTAATTTATAATAAAATTTTAGGAACGTTATCGTGGCTGCAAAACTTTAAAGACCATTGTAATCTCCGATAAATTTACTAGCCACAGGAACTAGCCAGCATAGCTCCAGTGTTCTACTCATGCTTTTGTAACAAAACTGGAAACTGATTAAGGGAGTAGTGGTCGTGCTTGTGAACTACGTAGCTCATGGTTCACAATTTCTCGCTCTCACGCTCTTTCTCTCTCTCTCTCTCTCTATGTCTCTCTCTCTCTCTCTCTCTCATGTGTAAAAGCGTAATCGTTACAATTACTGTGTTATAATCATTGCCTTCATCAAAGCATTCCCCTAAACCGCACCACTATGAATCGTTAAGAACAGACAGAGAGGGGAAGAGAGAGATATATATATAGAGAGAGATAGAGATAGATAGATAGATAGATAGAGAGAGAGAGAGAGAGAGAGAGAGAGAGAGAGAGAGACAGAGCGAGTGTGCGCGCACACGATAGAGACACACGTTGAAGGGATACTGGGATCGGAAAACCGCGGATCGCAACTCGTGTGATGAATCTCCGTATCAATTTCATCGACGGTAAAGTATCTATTAGAATCAACTTATACGAACTATTTACGATAAATTGCTATCCAATTTTTTAGTAAAATAAATTAAATTTAAAATGAGAAGTAGTACGATAAATTAATTTCTATATGAACGGTGCATTTATACACTTAATACACTTATATTTCAATTGGATTCTTATGAATAGAAAAAAGGAATGAATTTTAAGTGTGTATTTACTTATATTCTAAAAAAGTGAAATAATACTATAATAATTGTATGAGACTTTTAGAAGAACAAAAATTAATTCATATTGCAGCGATTAATATAAAATGATTTAACTTTATAATCTCAATTTTGAGTAAAACATAATTACTATACACGTATGAGGTTGATTGTCAACAAGATTAAGACTGACTTCTGTATTAATATTTGTCAAATTTAGATCAACAGTATCTAATGATATTTGATATACAATATATCGTATAATATTTATACGTTAAATGGATAGTTTATTATAGAAAAATATTATTTTATCATCGTTAATTAATTATCTATCACGGCGTCGTTATTATTTATTTCTATTGATTTAGGTCGACAATTTTCAAAAAATATTCTCACTTTTCATAGTATAAAATATTGTATAAAATAATACAAAAATATATATTACGCAACTAGCGTTTCATCCTCAAATCTGATGTAAAGATTCGCAATGTATTCATTCTTTATAATGAATTCTTTTAATTTATATTTTTTATAAATTATAAATTTGGCTTCCAATGCATTTTCGTGTTTTATAATCGTTAACTAGAGACGTTAAGAGAGTTAATGAAGATACATTGTGCGAATTAATTTAATGCAATGCTCATTATCGCTACAAATGTTATCTCACCAACAACTAAATTTAACGAAATAGTATATTCTTACATTTATAAATAATTATTATTTGTCTGTCTAGTAGTCATTGAAGAAGCCATTGGGAATTGCAGAGTATAGCACACATCATTATTAGAATCTCGTCAGATTAAAGTTACAAATGAATTTCACTCGCAAATGTAAAATCCTATAAACGCTAGTGCACATGACATTATAACCTCCTTCTCTATATTTTATGTTAGATTGCCTTACTTATCGAGTTATTTTCATATTTTACAGGATTATGGGCAGTGGTGCATACCGGTGGATTGGCTTTGCCGGGAGTTATCGAGAGGCAAGCGAGTTCGGCCTGGGAATCCATGCTCCGACATAATTTGGTTGCGCCTTTACGGGCTGCGCGCGTATTCATTCCACTGCTCCGAGCGAAAAGAGGTAAACTGACGCTTTGGATCTATATTACATACGTACGGCAGTGCTTTAGTTACGTTTCAACTGGATTATTAGGGACATGAACTGGCGACAGTTCCTATACTATCCTCCTCTTTACTGTACCACACAGAGATAATGTCTATCAAATTCGACCATTCGAAATATAATTTTGTTTTATTTTGTATTAAGCGGTTAAAATCCTTAGTCGCTTAGTAGTCGTTTGAATTTCAGCTAAAATTCAAGAAGAGTAAACATCCAGGACAGTTTTGTATTTTATTTGCATTATACATGTTTTTAGCAATGTAATATTTTTATTTTGATATTTAATTTCGCAATTTCTGAGATTCTTAAGCTTAGTATTTTGAAAGAAACTACCTGTTAAATATTTTTTAATATAATAAAATTAAAATATGTGCTTATGCGATAAAGAGTTTAAATCCAATATTACATATAGTACGGGCGTTTGAAAAAATTTTCGTTATTCTATTATGAATATTTATTCCCTTGTAAAAAAATTCATGCTATGTATATGCAATAAATTATTTTTAAAAACTTATATAATAATCTGAAAGTTCGACGTAATTTTCATTAAATAACTATTTAACACTTTCATAACTGTTACAGGCAATGAAAAATATCTTCCATGAACTTCGATGTTAATTTCTTTATTAACGAATGTGCAGCAGTTACGCACACATTATATATGTACATATTTGGGATAAGGAAAAACGTAATTAACTATCTGTTTGAGAGTACAGTTTAGTTTATTATTTATTAGATGTATATCATAATTACGATAGCTAATTATGCTATGGACTTTGCATATGTTATGAAGTAAACGTTTAATTATAATTTTTTCTGCTTTTACAAGCTGAATCAAATGTTGGTAAAATGCTATATTCGATTAAATATAATTTATATTTAAAATTCATTTAATTTAAAAAGCTATAGTTTGTTGTCACGGAATAAATTATAAGCTCTTCAAATTATTGTTGTTAATTAATCGAATAATATGTAACTAATAATTAGAATTTATAGTTAAAAGCTTAAACCTAATGACAATATATTATTTATATTTGAAAATCATAAATTTGAAATTAACGGTAGTTAAATATAGAAAATGAAAAATAATAAATTCAATCTAAATAAGCATGATACAAATCATTTTATACAAAATAAAGATTTATAACATTAAATAGAGAACTATTACAAATACAAAAAAGATAACATACACATTTTATATAATAATTATCCACAAAAATATAAATTTGGATAAACAAAATTATCATTTATTGACTTATTTAAGTTTTATTCAATACAATTTTTATTAATTTAAAAATTCTCATTATTTTACTTATTTTAATTATGATTATTTTGTTATTATAATTATAAATCTATTTATATTCGATTTCTTTAATTAATGATATTATTTAATGTTCACTATATCTTGATATTATTTAATTTTTTCTTCTAGTAGTTCTAAAATACCATACAGATTGCTAACTTTGAAGATTTGCCGCGTTTATCCATGCAATCAAATGTATTGTATTTAATTTTCTAAAATTTTTACATATAATAACATATTAACATTATTATTGTTACTATTATAATTAAAATAATCATATTAAAATAAAATTGTATTTATTATAATCAACTACCATTAATATTCATAGGAATAAATGAGTATTGAAATTACTTGTATGAAAGTCATGCAAATGCAACGGGATTCAAATTTAATCTAAATTTGAAAAAAAAATTTTTAATGTAATATAACAGAAGACAAAATTGTTGATAATTTTATATTTTATGTTTCATCATATCTCTTGTAATTCATATACTCCACAATTTTTGAACGATTTTTTAAATGACTTTTCGCAAAGTGAAGTACTCGATGTGGAAGATAATTTTTTATTAAAAATATTTTCCTTCAATTTTTGATATAAAATAAAAACTTGAATATCGTTATTCAACATATGAATATCTGTAAAAACATCGAGCATATATTTGAAGTTTTTTTTTTTTCAAATAGAAAATTTATAAAATATGAAAGAATTTGTAGAACATTATGTAAAGTAGAACGGAGAACATGTTGTTAAAAATTTTTATGAAATCAGAAGAATTTAGTTAATTAGAAAATTCAGATAGACATTTAGAGAGTTTATGGTTTAAAATATTTTAGAGAAATTCTAATTTTATTTTTAAAAATGTATTGGTACTTGATTCACTGATACTACAAAGGTTTTCATATAAATATACGCATGCTCAATTGAATTATGTTAACTTTATAATTACATTCTAACATTATCAATAATATTTTATTACATTTATTGTTCCATTTTTTAAATTTTAAATATTTTATTCAAAAACATGATTTGCAAGTGATGTTTTGCAAGATATATAATATTAAATATATCTACTGAACATATTAGAAGTAAAAACGTACATGCTTAGAAATTATATAAATATTATATTTGCTCATTGATAAATGGTAGAACCACTACAAATTTTTCATTACGACGAAAAAATATTTTTTTCCGATTTTCTTTTGAATCTTTATGTATTGGCTATGCACAATACATATTATTTGACCTTTGTGGGAATAAGAAATAGTTACATAAATATTTTTTCATTTTAAACTTGAAGATACAACTTAAATAAGATTTCACAAAAGAAAATACGAGATTGTTTTAATATTTGTTTAATAGTGTGTACGTAATAAATTGTTAGAGAACTATATTTAATATTTCAATGAATAAAAAAGAAAAAAGTTTATATTGTTGTGCTATCCACAATTGTATGTTAAAAGCAACCTTTCATATTATATTAAAATAATGACCTTTTATTTATTCTATATATTTTTGCAATAAACGTGTAAACATATTATTTCTATTACTTTTCCTCGCGACATGTTCAATAATACTAACGCGTAGTAAAAATGAAATTTAAGTCTACGGAATTCAAATTCGAATTTCTTTTTTACATTTTTTCAACATTATATTTGCATTTGTATTATATAATACTGAGCGGTCATCCAAAATTTAATTTTGCGAATAAAATTATCCATAATATTAATATTCATAGGAAACATAATGATGTAATTGATTAGATGAAAAATTAGTGTAATATTGGTAAAAAATTGATAATCGGATTGCCATTCGTTAAAGAAATTCAACAAGTAATGTACATAAATTTCGTTGGTGGAATTGAAGAATTTTTTAATTAATTTAAATGTAAATATCAGAGCTACAGGAGGCTCGATATGCTAGATAAATTATTAATCTAAAGCACTTATTATTAAATCAACGTAAGTTTAAATTCTTGCGAATCGAACGAATGTAGATCTTCTCTTGGCTGCTTAAGGCTGATTAATCTTTTATAAAATATCAAGCGCAGCCCCTTTTCCCTAATTTTATTGTTTGCTTTGACATTTCAATAGAAATGTATCCAAGGCGAAAAGCATCGAGAAGAATTTTCTCTAATCATTAATATAAGCAATCCGTAATCGATGAATAACGTAATATGCCTAGTGCTAATGCACTCATTTCTATTTTCTCAGGTCGCATAATTTTACTGGGCGACTCAGACACGAGCTTCGGCTCGATGGTGGGTGCTGGTCTCGTGGCCTTTAGTGCCTCTCGCAAAGCTGTTGAAGGCGCGGCGGAAGCATTGCGAGCTGAGCTCTGCGTGTCTGGTGTCGACGTCGTGTTGCTCAAGCCACCGTCCGTGAATCCACTGGCGCTTTACGGTCCCCCGGTTCTTAAAGCGTAAGGAGAGACCGTTTTTAATTTATGGCACTTTTATTCTTTATCTATTAGAATAAGATTACACACAGCTGAATTGTACAGAAAGGCGGTGAGAGAGCGAGAGTTTTGTGTTCCACAGGATCCGCGTATGCGGGGCTCTTCCCGTAATCATCCTCATTTTAGACATTATACTACTCCTAGAGAGTACAAGTACCTATAACATATATTAATGTTCACGATAAATATTATACTTCTTTTCTTATTATTATTATTATTTTTTTTTAACTGCATGATAATTATCAGTAACTTCTGCGTTAAAAAACCAATAAAATCTTTGAAAACGATATATTCTATTTTTATGATAACTGTTTCCTTTGAAAGATCTTTTGTATAACATGAAGAATTAAGATTAATTTTTTAATATCCATTAATATGAAGAAATTCGAAAGATAATTATTTTAATACTCTATACAATAATTATAAAAATTATAAAATATTATCTAAGATATTTAAAATTACAACATTATTATGAAATTCTAACATTATTGTGAAGCTATAAATCAATTTTGTAATATTGATAAACAGCTTTAATTACATCGAAAATTAAATAAGATGTAAAGTAATATTTTTTGCTAATGGTAATGTTATAGGTCCGAGAAGAAATTAACAACGGAGTTGCCGGAAGGAACTTGGATAGCCCCGCTGACAGCTCAATCGGTAAAATCTTCCTTAATACCGGCACTCACGTCGACCTGTCCATATAAATCTTATAACATGAGCAAGAGTTCTCGAATTTTCTGTCGATAAACCAATCAGAAATGGGAACAGTTTTTTATGTCATATATTATGGAATACTAAATGTGCGCCAAATAACTCTTTGTAACATATGTAATTATACATAATTTATAGATTTATGCATAATCATTTATCTTGTACGGTGTAATTCTTGTATAAATACTAAAATAGTAACAACAACATTGATTTATAATTTCTTTAATCCTACCTTAATATATCATCGTATATATAATTAATTCATTGTACATTACATGATTAATTTAAATTATAACTTGGAACTCCATAGTCACTATATTCAGATTATTAATACATCAAATATTTATGTTTTATAAAAGTTTATTAATAAAAATTAAATTATATCATTTAGAAACTCAATAAAATATTCAATACAATTAATATAAATATAATCAAATATAAATGAGTATAGATGTAATTATGCAAATAGATACTTTCATAGATACTTTCATATTTTCAGTTCCATCATTCGAACAATGGATTTTTTAAAATTTTTCTTTAGTGTTAAAATTAAAATTTTTAAATGATAAATTACAATAAATTACAATGATAAATTTATGACATAATCTTCGTAGCAATTGTAATCCAAATTATTTGATTAGTTCTATTTATTGACTATTTTAGATTTTTATAAAAAAAAGTTTATCTAGAAGTATGAATATTTCATTTCTAAAAATATTACTTCTAAATTATACCTTTCCACTTTTGAAGGAACTTAACGAAGTCAGATTATTTTTTACATTTTTCAACTCTGGCTTACTTTACTTTTATAAATCAGTTATATAATATAATAAATAATTAATATTTTTTCGAGCATCATAATCTTATTGATTTTTTTTTAATGTATTAAGAAAACTGCTATATCAATAATCTAACTGACAAAATTTAAGAAATCAGAAATTAAATTTTTTTTTGGAATTTAAATTATCGTTATAGCCTGATTGTAATAGCATATTATCTTTTCATTTAAAATTAATTGAAACAAATTGAGAAAAAAAATACATTTTATTTATAAATGATTGCATATATAATTTATATAAAAATTACTACTACTTATTAGTTCGTTTACTTTGTATAAACTTGGTAATTCTCAGTATAATGTAATTTTACGGGTCATTTACATAACTCACAGAAATACGTTAGAATATAGAAGACATTCAAAGAGGATTCTTGCAATTTGAAACTATAATTGATTATATGAAATTTTGAGTTTTTTTATTTTAAAGATTAATTCCTTAACTATTAGTCTAAAAACGGAATTATCTGTATATATCAATTGATAATTTTTAATTTATTACTTCTAGAATTTGAAATATAGATATATATACATATATATATATATATATATATATATATATATATATGTATATATATATATATATATGGTTTTGAGTGTGTGTGTGTGTGTGTGTGTCAGAGAAATCCATTGTTGGGATTCTAACCCGCGTATCCTGTTGTGACGCGCAACGGTAATTTGTGCATAACTTAAAGTGTTACCCCGTCTTATCATTGCAACAGGATGCAGAAGCTGCACAGCCGTATCTTTATGGGCATCTACACGAGGCGCTCAGCACTAGTCGATTTATTTGTCGAGCAGTCCAGGGTCGCGACGAAATCTGAGAAAAGCTGGTAACAAGTTTGTTAGGCTAAAAATCTATATCCATCTCTACAAAATTTCAGTATATGAATCACGAGTCCCTCAATGTTAAAAATGTAATTTGTAAAATTAAAAATTAAATAATATTTCTTCATATATTTTCTCGTGATAATGTTTTAAGTTCTTAACAATTTATCACTATAGAGCATACAATATTTAATTATTGTTAATATTATTCTATATAAGTAATCGTTTGCATTTCAACGATAGTAATAACATTATAAACTTGATAATCGAAAGATATTTTAGACTTTTTTCTTTATCTCTATCTTCCTGATTCTTCTCTCTCTCTCTCTCTCTCTCTCTCTCTATATATATATATATATATATATATATATATATATATATAACTTTCATTCTATTTTTTTTAGTTTTTCGTGTATCTTTTAAGTTATCAACACCATTATACAGAGGTATTTGTTTTTTTTATTATTAAAATTATATTTCTATAATTTTTAATTTAATTTATTGTTTATAATTCTTATGCTTTATAGCAAATTGTCTTCTGTATTAGATTATTAAAATTTATTGTTAAAAGAATTATATTTATGAGTTTTTCAACTAACGCGAACTAAAAATAATAAAAGAGTTTAATTATTTTCTATTAGCTATAAAATTTTTATATAATTAAGTATTATATCTAATATAAATGACACATTATATATAATAAAATATATTATTTGCTATTAATTCTGTAAATACTTTAGTTTTTTATTATAATAATTATTGCTTTCATACTTGATTTAAATCATATTTGAAAATTTCAATTTGAAATTATTTATTATAAATTAATTTTAGTCTTGTATCATCTTAATATTAATTATAAAATATGGAGATTATTTTCGTTAGCTCCTTAGTTAAATTATAAGTATTTGTTTCGTATAATATTATATATATATATATATATTATTTACATCTCTATATTATAATCTCTCAAATCTAAATTATTGTTTAGTAATGTTATACTTAATTTAATTTGTTAATAATATCTCGTTTCAGGGGTTAAATTTTAACATATATCTAATATATTGTATATTGGCTTTGAATGACCGCATGTAATGCATAACATCTATCCTTTTACAACCAATCATTATTTACATATAATTAAGATTTAGTTGATTATTATTTATTAACCATGTAGTCTTATTGATTTAGATTACACAATTTATAGCTGTGCATTATAATGCTAAAATAATGTGTACATTGTGTTTTTGCGTGAGGTCGTATGCCCCATAAAGGAATTGCGGAAATCAACCACATAGAATTACTAAAAATACTGATTAAATAGCACAGTAGAGAAGGTAAGAGTAAATAAAAATAATGCCAGACCAGGAACTTTCTCTTGAATATTTCATATAAATATATATAGAATGACCATAAGAAGTTTTCTGGCTATGCAATTCTTGATTATGCCATTCGAACGTTTGAAGGCTGCACCTGTCCCATGGTCCTTATTACATTGACATTTAATGAATGAAATTAAGAATTAATATATGGATGCATAAATTTGATTCCAAAGAATTTCAAATCAATGCAGTAATATTTATGAATATGAATATTGTTAAAAAAAAGTTAAATAATTATAACTACTTATCTTGTGTTACAAAGGATTGAACTGCAGTAATTATAACATAATTTCATTACACATCAATTGATGTTTATATATAGCTGTTGATAAATAAATTTGTAATTTTTATATTATTGTTATGATCTGTATGAAACCATATATATTATAAATTAATTTAATTTGATGATTTTGTTACTACATTGTTCAAGCAATTTCACTTTTCGAATTGTGATAGCTTAAAATTTTAATTTATATGTCAATGAGTAAATTAAATATATATTCAGTGTATTACACGTTATAAAAAATGTAATTAATCAAATATTTAATTACATAGGTTATTTATATATAAATGTGTTGTTTATTAAATAATTTAATTATGTGTGTATTTTTAATTCAATTTAACATTTTTACTGCAGTTTATTAATTATCATATATATTATAATTATTAAATATAAATAAATATTACTAATCACATATATTTTCAAAACAATATTTATCATAGTATAATGAAAATACTATTTATATTCGTAAATTTTTAAAATATACGAATAACACTAAATGTTCAAATTTTGTTAGCTCACAGAAAGTTCATTACAACATTTTACTGAATATAACTTAATAATAAATAATGGTCGTAAAATATTCTAAAATTATTTTATGATTAGTTTAAAAAATTTAATTGATAGTAATAATTCTTATTTTGTTCTAAAAATATAATCATTGTACAAATTTTTGATGGACATTTACGCACACAATTACATGCTCACATATATTACATGTGTTAAAGTTATATATATTTTATATAGTATACAACTAAACAGTATTGTATAGAAAAAAAATTTATCTTGTACATATGATTAAGGTTTTAAATTTTATCTTTTAATGTATAATAAATTTAAAACATTCTCATTGCATTTGTATTTATAAAGGTAATTTGTTATTCATTGCAAAATAAAAAACGTATTTTCTCGTTTAAAAAAAATATTTCATATTTCCATAGCAAAATTTGTTCTTCTGTTATAAAACAATTTTGTTATAAAACTCAGCTATAAATGCATGACTATTTATCAAAATGTCTCAGTTTTCAACTCAGTTGTTGTGTTCTTTTTTTTTGACGTTAGCATAGTGAAAATTTCATCTAACTATCGAAAATGTTCTTCTGATGATTTATACGAAAATTTAATACATAAATTCATAAATTTTATGATTTTTTCAACAATCTTTGTAATTGATTATTGAGTTTAATAATATATAGTTTTAATAAAAAGTTTTTTAATCCATCTCATGCTGTTACATTAGAATAAAAACAATTATTTATACAGTGATTTTACAGAAAATATCTATAAGTAAAAGTAGATATGCGATTTCTCTGTCAATAAATGAAGAACAAAAATTACAATAGAATTATCTATTATGTTATTACAATTTTTTAACCATAACATTCTGGTCTTCTACTTAGATAATAAATGTTTATTTATTTTTTTTATTTATTTTATTTGTTCTTTTCTATTCCCATTACAGATAATATAAATAGACACAATAATATATCAGAGAGTTATTTGATAAATTCAATATATATTTTATTTCCGACATAAATGAGACATAAAATAATTTATAATGAAATATTTATTTATTAATATACGTTATTAATAAATTAATAAAATTGGCAAAAAGACTTTAATTTTTCAATACATTATTTAAATGGACTAGTTATATAAATGAACATTGTAAATTCCCATTTAAATTGCCTTTTATAAAATAAAAGGCATTCTTATATTATTCTAAAGATCTTATAAAGATATTCTTATAAAATATTTATTTAGGTCGGTTTTTTTTTTATAGTTGCATAAAAATAAATAAAAAATAAAAATAAAATAAATTCTTATTTTGAAATGAATTAGGTAATTAAATTTTTGTTTCCAAACACTGGACG